ATAATTCCTCTCTCACTCCATGTGCTCCTGTAATAAAAGTCAAACAGACAACCTAACAGTACGGAAGCTGAGCTGCAGTTGATAGTACAAGCAGCACTTATCAATGATTAACTTGCCAAATGCCTTCTCCCAGCATTTTTATTTAATGGTGTTCTGAAATATTTTCATTGACAGCAGTTTTGCTTTAGGAGAAGTGCTTGTTTACAGGATATGGGGCAGTGATGGGTTTTAAATTTAAATAATGTTTCCTCTTTAAAGATGAGTGGTTTGTCTTCTCTGTATGAAACAGCTGTAGTAGCTTGTAATATTAAATGCGTCTTTTGAAACCTCAGAAATGTAGCACCCTCTGTAAACTGGATGTGATCACAGGATTTTAAAATTCGGCGTAACATCCTATTTAGTACCGCAACACACTTTCTGTCCCGATTTAGCATTCCTTTATAAGCATGAACAGCCTTTGATCTGATCGCACTGGCCTAGCAGGAGATGTCCAATCCTCCACATTTCGGCGAGGTGGCCGACAAGTGGGAAGTGAATAGCGCCTGAGAGAGTGGAGCTTAGGCGTCACATCACATTACCTGAGGATGCGTCAGCTAGGTCAAGTCATCTGTGTCTGCTGCTGCAGGTTGATGTTTGCACTAAGCAAGCGCTGTCTCTCCTGGGACAAATTTACGTGCCAGCCTCACAGAAACATTATCAGATATGGAGGGCGGGTCGATGTGGGAGCTGTGTGTTAACTCGGCTCGTCATTGACACACGAGTTGGCAGAAAGGATGTGAAGACTGTAGCTAATCCTGCTGCCATCTAAGGGCCTAGCTAGCATGATTTCCACCCTCAAATCCCCTGCAGACGCTTACGGCTGTGATGACACCCACACTGTATTTTCTTTAGTCTGAACCTTGGTGGAAAAGTTTACTTAACTGCAGTTATGTGAGATTTTTTCTTGACCTACATCCCAACACATCTTCCACAAGTTCACCGATAGTTAAGCCAGGCAATGTTTGATTTGCTGCAAATTTAACTAGCGTCTGTCTCTTGCTATATGATTCCTCCTCCTTTTCTTTAGCACTGTCTTTTCTTAGATGTCTGAGGAACTCCAGAAAAGGACTACCCTCTCCACCCACTGTTGTGAATAAATCATTCATATTTCACGTTTGAATTATTGAACATACAACATATTACTCTCAGTGAAGGTAAAAACTGACTGTAGCCAAAAGAGATACTAACTTTTTAGGGAAATGTGCATGAAAGCAGCTAAGCCTCTGCTGAAAGTGCATGCTGGGATATCTTATCCCATAAAGAGCGGACCTCTATTCATTTAGACAGATGGCCTTGGGTTTATAACTTCTCCTTTATTCACTTCCCAACACTCAGACTGGACTCTTCTGCTGTGTATGCTACGTTCAATGAACCTAACAGAGTTGAACTGCCACTTAAAGAAGCTGGATGAATGGGTACTCATCCATAAGCATGGCCTTCACAGCCATATATCAGTATTTGCACATACAGTAGAAAATCAATATCACTGAAGAGTATTCTGCAGTTATTTTGATGTGACACAGACTGCAGGACAAGTGACCTTTTCTTCAAGTCTTGCTGTTATTGGGTGACAACAGTTACTAAACAAAATTTTATACGGGAGGTTATTGCTAGAGAAGATGATTTTTTAAGCAGGGGGGAAGAAAGAGGCAATAGTTGGACATTATTTGGTTTATTATTAAGAGTAATGGATAATACATAATTAATAATACAAACTTAATACATATTAAGTAGGGCTGGGTGCAAAGACGATCTGCATTTGTCAACCAAGGGAGATTTTGCCATGATATCTTTCTCTTTAATACTTTGGGGTGTATTGGGCCATTGCAGATTGTTTTCCCTCCCCTAATCCAGATGATACTGTATGCCAGTGTGAGAAGATTAAAACTGCTTCAAGCCCCTTAACCACAGTGATTTATTATTTTCCCACATAGTTTGCCAAGACAGGAAACACATAATTTCTTGCTGAACCTCCGTCACCTGTTTAGACTTACCGTTCAGAAAGTATTAACAGTCTTTTAAAATGTCTTTAAACATTTGTTTAAATATTTAAAGGTAGGGTATAGGCATTTTATTTCAGAAGCATTTATTATTATATTTGGTGAAATTGCCTTAACATCCCGACAGCCATCAATACATCAAATGCTCTGATTCAAAAACATGAAAAAAATTACCTGCCTACTTGTGTGCACTCATTGTTAATGAAAATGTGTTTTGGAGGGAGGCCTGAAGTGAGGGGAGGGATTTTTTCAGATGGATACTTGCTGTCTCTTGCTAGTTCCTGTGTTACCTAAACTAGATTTAAAATGTCTATAAAAGGCACAATTTTACCTCAAAATGAATGTATGTGCAAATCCAGGCACAACGCAATGAGACTGTAGAATTAGACCAAAGCTGGATTATCAAGTGGGCCAAGTGACCAGACCTATGAGTATGATTTGTAGTAATTTGGTTAATTTCACATGTCTCTATAAACATGCACCACTAAATTGGAATATCAACAAAAATCAAAATGACAAATGCCTTTAAGCAGGTTCTGCAATATTCAAGGCGCACTACTCTCACACATCATGTTCAGTTTACTTGTCACAGTGAGGACTTACTTACTTAGTCTTAGAAAAAAGGCTTATTTTGCTCAATAGCAAGCTATCGGACCTAACGATCTCTCACGCTTTTCTGCATCAATTTGAATCAGGAGTTTTTTAAATCTCTATTTTATTTTATATAGTGGAGGTCACCAACTAATTTTCCCTCTTGAACCCTATGTGGTTGATTAGACTCGTGTTGAGCAGATGGTGAATATCTGATACTGTATTCCACAAGGACGACAGTTTTCTCTCTGAGAGCATCCATTTAAGTCTGTCACGTCCTTGCAGGATCGTAAATTCACTGGCCCCATACACTAGGGACCACTCCTCTGGCAGCACATTGTGCATACTGGCATATACAGTGTAGCATCCCACCTGTAAACCTAAAGAGGCTCTGAGAGACAATCAATATCCCCTTGTGCTGTAGCACTGAACCTGCATAAACAAACCTGTTTTATCCTGATCCTTTCTTGCACCACTCCCTACACGTCCTTGGAAATCCTAAATGCAAGTGAGTGAACCCTAATTACAGCTAATCGTGTGTCTAATTGGCAATTCCCATCCTAATGAATTTGATTCCCATTGTGAATGACATGCCAATCACATTCTGCATTGTTTCATTAAAACTGTTTTCATGGAGATCAGCACAAACAGTTTACAGAAACGCCATACAGCCTGTGTGGGGATGAAAATAATCCCAAACTAACATCCCATTCTTTTATATTCTTAGTTAGTCTTGTGGTCGATAAAACGCAGGAAGACATGGAAAAGATCCTCTAGAATGGTGTGGTTTGGTGGGTGTGCACGCTTTGATTTCACAGTAACAGATTCTATCACCTACTCTGCCTTTTCAGACATCCTCGCTCACAGGTGGGTGTCCTTTCTGAGTATATACTGTGAGCAATTCCCCTCTCTAATCACAGACAATGGCCATGAGAACCGACAGTGCAGGTTTTTTCACCCTCCCACTTCTACTCCACTGAGCCACTGAGAGAAGCCTGGTTTTAACACATTGACATTGTTTATTTCTACTCAGGTAAGATCTATTAAATGTAGATGATTTCCTCCTTGTAGAGTTGCAATAGGAGAATGTAGCCGAACGATGTGTAATTGGTCACATACTGACTGAAGAGGCCAGCTCATGACCTGACTGGGGAGTGAGTGGCCACAGATGACCTAATAATCAAAAACTGTCCTTCCATCTTCAGTAATCATTGTGACCTCTGTGACCTCTAAACTAAGCCCCTGAATGGCTTGTCAACCATTACCCAACTAATCTTGTCACCCTCTATGCAACCAGCCCAAAACGCATTCACACATCTGTCAGCTGTATCACAGCATGATATCTGTGATCCAGTTTCTCCCGTGATATCGCTAGCTCTTCAGGTATCCTTAAGTCCCCTGTGCTCAGTGGCATCCACATGAATAATGTGTATGATTCTGGGTGAAATGCACTGAGGTAATAACGTCTGATAGGCAAGCAGGAGGGAATAATCTGATCATCAATACTACAATTAGCTTATGTAGAGGTGAATTTACCAGATGTGGGTTACATCTTCATTATGGTTACTGAGGCAGAACAGTGACACCGATCAGTTGATTTTTATTTCATTGCAGATTATAGTGGGAGCAATGGACACCTCTCATTTGTCACAAGCTATGAGGCTCAGCCTTGGCATGATGTGCAGCGACTCCAAAGACCTGTAGCTTACCTGAGACGCAGATGGGTGCTCAGGCTTCACTTTACTCAAATTTAATGTGGAATTTAAAGCAACTCACATTTGGGATCCAACTTTCATGAATAATTTATGAACAATGTGTTGACGCAAAACACCGGGGTGGTAAACCTCATAGGCTATTGTAGTGTATGTATTTCAGAGGGGAACTTTACCCAATGCACTGTTCAGAGAACAGGCGCAACCTGTGCGCCCTTAACAGAAAGGAAGGACGATGTAAATCATGTGTCAGAGTCACAGCAGCTGTGATGTCAATGGTCGCTGATCCTAAATACATAATTACAGGAAACGCTGCCCATGGTCCGGTCAAGCAAATTAATTTAGCGGGCTGTAAATTAATTATAGTCAGCGTATTAATTTTCTGGTTCAGTTGTTTCAACCGTACAGATAATCATTTCATTTAAATGCCATTCTGTTGCGCAAAAACGCCCAGTTATTTCATGCGTCTCATTACTTGGCACTTGAACTATTGCCTGCCTTCAGTGCGCTTAAGTGATTCAGAGCAGCTTATAGGAGTCTGTATATTTGTCTTCTCCGTGTCATTTTAAACGCATGGACGCACTGTATGCGTAATTTTGGTGCCACTACAAATTCTTCCATATCAAAGCAGCTTCAGTTTCTAACTTTGGAAACTTACCTATCGACGCTGATAACACACAGGGTCATGATGGAGGCGGTGCAGCACATGACATCCATGCCGATGAAGATGTTGCAGAACACTTCCCCAAAAAGCCACTTGCCCCCGGTGAGGTCTGTCACTATTACAAAAGGCATCACTACTATGGCCACTGACAGGTCCGCCACTGCTAGGGATACAAGAAGGTAGTTTGAAGGTTGCCTTAGTTTCTTCACCACACACACTGCGATCACCACCAGCGTGTTTCCCATAACGGTAACCGCCGTGATGATCGCCAACATCACCCCGATGATGATCTTCTCCGGGCGCCCGAAATCCAGCAGCTGCTCTCCGCACGACTCGTTCCACATGGTTGTGGGGCTGATGGTGACGAGGACGTTGTACATAAGCTGCAGAGTGCCATTGCTAACTTCGGAAATATCCTCTTTCTTATTAAAAGTGAGCTCAATTCCCGAAGTATTGAACATCACGACAACGTTATCTCGGCAGGGATGCAAGGGACGCCTCGCCACTGCACTCCAATTACGCGCATATTTGGATATGTGTAACCTGCTCTCGGCTCCTGTCCAGCGGTTTTAGATCGAGGCTGTTGCAGCTGCACCACATCAGAGCTGCCAACAACTCACTAGGGTTTTTGACCGCAGAATGATCCGCCTGAAGAAGTGCGTGCTCCATCTCTAGGTGGAAAAATGACTTCTACTCCAAAACTATGAAAAACAAATTAAAAAAGTTACAGTATCTAAACATAGCTGCTCCCGAAATATTTGTGTTTCAGTGCACTAACCTGACAAATATGGGCTATTTGGGGAGTTGCGCTACGTAAACCGCACCTTCACGTGACGTATCACTTAGGACCCGCAGACAACCAACTGAATACGGGGCATGACGAACACGGTAGCGGTTTCAAAGTGGATTCATTCTGCGTGCAAAACCATAATTACTTTTGTTGCTATTTGTGCATTTGGGCACGGGGTTCCCTCCCCTTACAGCTCTTACCACACTGAGAGTTAACAGAGTATGTAGGCCTAGTTACTGGTCATAAAATAAAGATTCAGTTTTATTAATAGAACTTAATGTTTGCCTATTTTATGACTGCCTGTGAGTTAATATAAAAAAAATCCCATTTGATGTCACATATAATATCTCCTCCTCAGTACACTCTGCATGCGTTGTTATAATGGTCAGGAGGAGCTGGCTGGCGCCTCAAACACAGCTGACCCTTTTTTTGGGTGAGTTGTGGTAGGGGTTGAGTTTGTGGGAATAATGCAGCAAATTTTGGTTTTTAAAACAATTCTGCTTTCCTCGCATGCCTCTTGAATTGATGAAGAGACTGAAAATGAACCTCATGGCATTTTTCCACTGCCTCCCAACAAGCATAAATCATATGTTTTATAAATAGAACATCTCAAGATAACCCTCAAAAGTAAAAATCATTCAACAAAAAGTGAAGTTTCTCTTGTATGTGCTTTTCTTTTCTACTGATGATTTTCTTGGTGGCCTTGGCTCTTCATATTTAAGCACTGAAGATAAATCAAAAGAGAAAGACCAGCGCTGATGATGATGCTGGAAGACAGTGAGGACATATGGGAAAGCTTCCCAGGACTTCAGCTACTTGCATCGTTGTCCAGACAGCAACAGCTGGTGTGTTTTCCCCCTTTGGCTCTGGAGGAGCAAATTCTGTTTCCCACAGTTCCCGTATAGCGTGGCATCACTGCTCCCAACCCCCTTAGATGCAAGCCACCACAGCCACGGCCTTTTACTCACCATTAGCTACCACTCGGTCTGACACACAGTCAGTAATGATTGTCACATCAGATTAATGCAAGTGACCATTGGCAGTTTCTGCTAGTCCTCCTGCTGTCAGGAAAATTTGGGCCGTTTATGTTGAGGATATTACACGTGTGGATGTCAGAGTAGATGGGTCACGTTTCCAGGGTGGAGAGCTCCTGAGGTGAGTTCTCGGAGCTTATGCAAAGCAACATGTCAGCATGACAGTGTCTCTTTCAGCCCCTCTGAGGGTCTTGTAATGAAAGGGGTTAAACATGTATGGATTATACCTTCTGTGGGAGCAATAATTACAGATGGTTAGGAGAAAGCATGACAAGAGAAATTCAAATTAAACTGCTGCAAATTGTTAACAATTAATGGTGCTGTGTCTTTGTGGAAGCAACAACATAAACATTCAGTCATGTTCAGTTTGTGGTGTTTGTAGTGGTTTGTGTGTGTCTCTTTCAATAGTTTTTTGTCTCTCTTTGTGTTCATTCATTGTTTTTCATCTCTGTCTGTTAGTTTTGTGTCTGAACAGCTGCCTACTGAGCAGTGGCCCAGAGGTCCAAGAGGTAGGTGGGGCCCCGCGCCAGTGCTCAGAAGGCCTGTTCATAACCTCTGTTCAGTACTCCATCCATATATTCATGTGGAGCTCCCAGGCATCACGTCTGTTCTAACTCTTGAGCATTTCGTTTGTTGACAGTTGAACTTTGGTGCAACCAGGCTACCGCGCTGAGACAGCCGAAAATGCACATCCTTTACATAGTTTGGTGTAGTTTGTTAGAAGTGGAAGCATAATTTGAACCAATTACAGGAAATGACCTCAAAATGCAAAACCTTTGATCCCCCTTGGTGCCTGCCACAATCCCAGGTGGCCTCTTTGAACGTCAGGCTCCAAAGACTCTGTCCAATAAACAAGCCCCATGTGAGTCCATGTGACATTTGTTCACAAGCCCTGGATCCCTTCTAATTTGGCTTTATTTGGCCTTAAAGAAACGAAAATATTAAGTAAACATCAAGTTTTACATTTTGACCTGTAATTCCAACATGTCAGTCATTTTCTGATGTTTAAATGTCAGAGCATGCAGCCAAAAGCAAGCCCGCAGGTCTTATCCAAACATCCTGCATTTGACATGACAAGCATTGCTACTGACTATGTCAGTCTGGAGCCCATCTGTGCCTCTGACATGAACTGGCATAATGTTATCAGTCAGTCAGTTGAAGTGAAATGTCTGTTCTTTAGATGTAGATTACAGCTGAAGGCAGACAGGTGGAGATTGTACCTCTTCATAGGCCAGGGGGGGAGATAAACATTGTTTATCTGGTTTTCTTGGCAGCAAATTGAGTATTTGCAAACGTGGCCTTAATAAAGGGACACAATCAGGCACAGAGCAGGAGCTGGGCAACGAACAGGTAATTCCATCATGACAACAAAATGTTGGAGAGGCGTACTAGAGAAACACATTTGTTTTAGAAGTACCTGACCAGAGAAATGACAGATGAACAACACAGAAGAGTGTTTGTCTGCGCTGAACTCAAAGGGACAATCACTTTCAAATGACTAACAAACAATAACATCAATGCTTTCTTACACTGCATTCATGTAACTTAAATGAGTTTGAGCTTTTTGCTAGCTCATTACAGAAGCCAAGCAGTTGTTCATGTTGTCTTAAACCCCTCTATCTCAATAACACATTATCTCAAAGCATATATGTATCAAGATTTGTTTACTCAGAGCCACAGATGAATCATTTCCGTATCGAATCATAGAGAATTGATCACATGATAACTAGGTAAACACTTTTGTGACATGGTCGAGCTCATCTGCATCAAATGTAGCTGAAGTATTGAAGCCAATTGTCAGTGATCTTGAGGAAAACAATTATCTGAGAGTCTAAAAGTAAACACGTCCACTCACAGCTTGCATGTTTTATTTTTTAAGTATAGAAAAACTCATTTGAAAAGAGGTCCTGTCTTAAAAAGTAAGATTTAGTATTTAAAACACATGTTGTAGTGCAACAAAGACAGAAGTCGTGTCATTTTGTAAACAAACAAAAACATCCTAATAAGTCCATTAGCAAACACATCAGGTAACACATATTCATGTGGACGAACAAAAGTTAAAACCCTATTTGCTAAGTCACAGCCACAGAAACTAAAGGGCTTTAGATTTTGTATCTACAGTATAAATGTTTCTCTTAACATCTTAACACAGGCATTACTCTCAGCTGCTATTGGCAGCTTCCACTGTGATTGATTTTTTTAAAAATAGTCACAGCAATGGTCGTGCCCTGATCTTCTGCCCTGAGCTTTTAAAATTGAGTCAGAGCCAGTCACATGTTACTCATCACTGTAGCGTAACTGCCAATGTTGTTATGAGTCTATTGGTCATATGCTGGCAGATGAAAACAAAAACTTTAATGATTTACCTAAAGCTTTAAATGTTTTGGCTTCATTTTGACATGAAAGGTCTCCAGTGTCGTCTTACAGGTCTCAAAGTTCTCCTCCCCATGTTGGCCATGGAGGCCTCTGCCACGGACGCTTCAGCTTTTAGTTTTATCTGGGGCAATAAATGTATTAGGCATCGTCCCTGTTAATTAAACAGTAAAATCCAAATTAAATTATATGGGCTTGTAAATGCATCCCTAAGCATTCATAATTGTTTAACTGACCTCTTGGGTGATTTAATTGCTGATGCAATTAGTGGAGAGATAAACAATTATTAACTGGATGAGCTCTTAATGCATATATGATTTATCGTTTTCATTTTAAGTTTCTTTTTAACAGATTTAGGCAAAGTTAGTAGCATCTGTGGGTGGAAATTTGCCATTTATAATTAAGGTTTGTTATTCGATCCCCAGCGTTTCTTGTCCACATATCAAAAGGCCCTTAATGTGGACAGACGCTGAACTGAAATTGCTCCCAGTGCTTTTGGGTCAATTTAAGTTGCTTTTGGACAAAAGTGTGTACTAAATGTGATTTCAGTCTTGTCAGAAAAATGCAGCAAAGAAAGAGAAACTGTGACAAAAAAAAGAGATGTAACACATTCTCAAGCTTAATTCTTTCAATGGAGTTGGGTTTGCGAGCTTCACCTCATACCTACAAACCGCTGCAGAGCTGCTGCGCTGAAACAGTAAGGATGAAAGTGCCTTGCTCAAAGGAACTTCGTTCCTGCTGCAGGGAGTCTAAATGCAAGGTCACAAACGTTTTAGGCTCCTCTGTTTTTTCTCAACAGGTAAACAATTACTGATTGCTTGATTGCCACCCACGAATCTGAAACAAGGCTCGCTCTAATTAGAATTAAAATAAATCCTTCACACTGACAAGCTATTAGCTGCACTGTTTTACATTTACATTTTGCTGAGGCACTTATTCAGAGACACATACAGTGAGTAGTGAGTCACCAACAACATACATGTTGCAATTACTGTAATATGACGCATAATTTAAATATACACATACATGTGACAGATTCTGATGTTGTTTGGTCTGATAGAGAAGGTTTTTCGGAGCAGATTCATTATCGAAGGTCAGTTTGATTCTCTTATCTGTGGCAGTCACCTCTATCTGTTGATGATAAAAATCATTTACAAGCCTCACCAGGCTCCCTTTTAGTTGTTGCTATTTATGTGATGTTGTCTTGTAAGCACTAATGATGAAATGGATTCTGTCGAGGACTGCCTTGGCATGTTCATCAATCTAAAAATAACTATAACTGTTAAAAGTTCCATTAAAAGTTGACTTGAGGAGAGAGGAGACTTGACAGCAGTGAAACACACTATACCATCTGGTCACTCCCAAAAAAAAAAGAAAAGGACCAAAGCAATGGTTACTTTCTAGAACAGTGATTAATGTATTCCTGCAGAGACCAGGTGTGTGCACAAAGTCATCACCTCAATACCTCTGGGAGCATGTTGGTGATTATTTCAAAAGAGTCTAAGACTAATTGCCACTATGCCTGACCGGTGACCCAAAAACCAAAGCTCTGTGGGACTTTGGACTTTTAAGAATGTCAGTCCACCACCTATCTACGCACTTGTCAGCAGCTGACCTTGAGTAGGAGGTGAAGTGTCTTTTCATCGCGATTGGCTTTTTTAGTTGTGCCTTTTTATATCCAAAATAAATGTTCTTTGTTGTGAAGTGAGACAATTAGTGAAAGCCAAGATCTGTAAAACAAAATTCCTCTTGAACGCCATAAATGGCTGTGATATATGCACAGCAACTACAGAATTTTGGTAATTTCCCAAAAGACAACAGAGACCCCGTGTTTAATCACAGTAACCATTTTTAGCTTTGTCTCAAGCATTTTAAATATGTTAAATGAAATTAACTTTATTGTCACATATACTGGCAGAATATGTATGCAAAAGTTGTGGGCAGCCAGTGTGCAGCACTCGAGGACCAGTTACTTGGTCAAGCGCATTGACTGGAAAAGCTGTGTAAGTTTTGCGCACTCATATAATCTGATTAGTCAGTGTGGTGAAGGTAAACATTTAGGAGTTTTATCCCAAATACTGTGGATCGTTGGCTTAATGTGTGACGATAAATTTATGATTTGTGAATAACCATGATATGGTTAAGCTTGTCAAACAAATTACTCACCACCAACAAGCTGCACAACAATATTTATGAACCACATTGACACCACATTTAAAGGGCTGCAGTTGGCCACTAACATACTGTTGCAGTGTTTAGCTGGCAGCTTCAGGAGGCCATGTTGGGTCCCAGAAAAACTCCCTTGTTTAAAGAAAAAAAGGCCAAATGCTATTTTAACGTTAATTCCATCTAAAAGAAATTAGCTATATAAATTCACCCGGACTCCACGTCATGAGTCTGCATTAAAAGTCAATTACAGGACATGCAGGTCACTGACATTAATTAATAGACTGATGCTGTAGTCATGAAGTGACAGTGATTTTCCCAACATTGCCCACGTGATACAACTGGTGAAGCAGATTGATCAGGTGTCACACCACCTGTGCTCCCACCAGAGGGCGACGAAACATATTCCCCAGTATCATAAATTTACAATAAACGATTGACAGGTAGAGTAAACCAATGCCTTGCCGCAGAATCTACTGATTATCCAATAAGGGTGTCGGAGGGAAGATACCATCCATCAGCCCTTTGAATTCCTACCTTGGATATTGACGCCACAGGCAGCTACTGATTGGGCACTTTGCGCCAGGTTGGAGGCATCTCGTCGGATATTATGTGAGTTATAATGCTGAAATGTTAATAACTAATAGTGTGCTCTTGAAACTTGAAAAGCATTGCTGAATTGTTTGGAAGTATTTCGTTTCTAGCAGTTGTCACTGAAAATTTTCCTCAACACGTGTTTCTGTTAACTAGCTTAACTGACACTGCTAATAAAGTTTTATGTCTAGTGTAAACTGGCTAAGTCAGCTAGTTGGTTTATTAATTGATACATAATTAACTTAAATTAACTTTATGAAGGGAAGCTGTTGAGGGGAAAACGACGTTGTGTATATCAAACGTTAATTATCGTTAAAGTGGCCGATAATTAAATGCCTAAAGTTAAGGTTACCTCATAAAGTAGCTAGCTTATTGCCACGTGGTCTCATCAACGCTTTTAATACCGTAGTTAAACATTTGTCAAACTGTCAAACATCTTAGTCAAAGTTAATATTGTTAATATTAACCATTAAGACAAAAATTACTGTGCAACCTCTTGATTAAAAATTACCTTTAACACAGTCTGTGTATTTTATATTAGGTAGACTTGAGTTATGTAACTTATCTCTACATAAAGTTCTCACGTGGGGTTAATTAGTTTTGGCACATAGGGCTGAATGATTAATTGCATTGGCGATATTGCAGAGGGGGAGAGCTCCTGTGATGTCGGAGAATTAAGCTTGTTGTTACACAAGAGGCCTCACTTTTATTTTTGTTGACAAACTTTTGAATTGAACCTCAAACTGAGTTTTTTTGCTTACTGGGATATAGAAACGGAGGTTTTGATGAGAGATGGACTCCTAGGAGATTTGAACTGAGGACTCATTAATTGGTGGTTGAACTGTGGGTTTTGTATTGAGCTTACTGTATAACACACTGTGGTGAACTTAGTTTTTCTTGTCTGTAGGTAGGTCTACCTGCTGATGATGATATCATATTATTTAATGCCATGACTTGACTCTAAAATTATCTTTCTATGATTAAATATATGATTAACGTTATAACTTGATATTACTTCTCCACCATTGCTCAAAATAATAATTCATGCATCACCTAATTTCATCTTAGCACAGCCCTTGCCTACAGGAAAGAACGGTGTATGTTATATCTATCTGATATTGTGTTGGTCATACTATACACTAGGGCTGGGGCGATTCCTCGCCGTAATCGATTACATAAATACATCAGCTCGCATTGAAGGGTGGCTGCATCTGGTGGTAGCAGCAAGCGGGAAGCTTCCGGTCTACAATATGAAGCCGATGTGGAAGTCCCTGAAACCTGCATTCTATTAAAAATCCAGCAGGGGGCGATTCTTCTGGTTGCAAAAAGTCCGGCTCCATTAGAAGTAATGTGAAAATGATCCTTCTCAGCTGAATAATTAACCCAGTAAACACTTTCCTGAGGAGTTTATGGTCTCAGTCGCTAGTTTCAAGTCTTCTTCAATACAAAATGTTGTTTAATCTAGTAAATTATGGTCTCATTTATTTTAAAATGGACCACAAAGCAGAGTATGTTTCAAGGCGGGATTATCTCTGATTGACAGGTCACCATGGTAACGACCTGTCAATCAGGCTAGAGCCGACTCGTACCCTCGGCACTGTGTAAATTTAATCAGTGCCGTTGAAAAAGCTTATTAGGAGTTGGCTGTTCACTTTCTCTGGTGAGTACATTCAGTTTTAAGACTGTTCGCTAGACAAAATTATCAGCCCTGTTAAAATGACAGTTAACGAGACTTACAGTTGCACCTAGCTTAGCAAGCTAGTTAGCTCCGGCGTATCGTCACTTCCGGGCACTTCCTGCTTGCAAAAACTCGACATGGCGGCGCCCTATTGGCCAAACTCGAGGCTTCAAAACGGCAGTCCACAAACCAACGGGTGACGTCACGATGACTACGTCCATTTCTTATATACGGTCTATGGTTAGCAGGGATTGACAAGCTCCAGCTACAAGACTGCAGCTGTGACCGTCTGGGAGTATTTTTGACAGACATGCTGCTCCATGAGCACTCTGTGAATTGACCCTTCGCTAAGCCACGCCCTGAAAACTCAGCTGGCCAATCAGAGCGCAATATAGGACTCGCTCTGAGGTGCGACACTTTCATGGCTGCGCTCCATTGACTAATACAAAAAGAGTCCTTTTCTACCTTTTTTTTTTTTTTTTTTTTTTTTTTTTTTTTTTTTTTTTTGGCTGTAGATTTCTAAGATCTGGTCAAACGCTGTTCCTGGGGCACTTGTAATAGTTACAGTCGCTACCCAGAGAGGTTGATAGAAGTACAATTTATTCTCTTAACAAAACCTAAAATAAATCCAGAAAAATGTCGGCTGTGGATTATTCCTAATGTTAGTTAGCTAACGCTAGCTAACTTCCTACTGTATGTAACGTGATAAAGCCCTGCTGTTCTGCTTTCTAATGATGCCTACCCAGGTTCACAGGAAAAGTGTTGATCCTTAAAGGGATACTATGCCATTCTGCAGAGAGTTTGTTGATAAACAAACTCATGAACGCGTCTTTGCCATGGTCACCAGTCCTATTCTGCTGAAATATAGTAGAATCCACAGCGTCTGCTGTCCGAGAGCACGTTAGCACGTTATAAGAGGGCAAGTTTTAGCAGTAGCCTACTGTAGAAGGTGTGACAACAAGCCTGACAAAATTTAAATATGTAGTGAAGCAAAATACTTTTCTAGGCCTAAATCTAAGACACTGAGTCTTACAGCTGAATGATTTTGGAAAATAATCAAATTTTTTGTTTGTTTGTTTTTTTACCAATATTGCGATTTAATATGCAATTAATTTTTAAGCTCTTTACCTTCTGTATTATTAAAAATGGACAAGCAATAAATAAGTGTTTCGTATGACCAACACAATATTAGATAGAAGCTACATTTTTGTCTGAATATAAATCCCCAACACAACACGTCTCAGCAACATTGTTCTTGTGTCCATGAGCATGCAATGCACCTTTTTTAGAATAGCTTAAAACTGCAGTGTTTTCCCAGTTTAATGTGAGCTTTAGATGAATGTTTTGGTGTGTTTTCCAATGAAAAATATGTAATTTTACGTCATATTGGGACATTTCTTTCACCATATCACTGAACAAATAGTTGGAAAAGCTAGAGCAACACCCAAAGATCAGTCTACTGGGGAGGAACTACAACCTTTAGATCTGGAGAAACTAATTTGGTTGGTTCTGTTGCTCCACAGTGATTTTTACAGTTGCACAGCATGTTTTGGGCATCACCCCAAGGCCTTAATGGCAGGAAAACTCTGTTTTTCCTCTTCTTCTGCGACCTCAGAATCATTATAGATACGACTGTTTGTCATGTTTGCCTTTTGTGTCTTCATCTTACAGCTTCTGACATTTATCTGTAGACATTAATATAAACCTCCTCCCTTTTGAGGTGCATTTTATTTGCACGTTAAAATCCAAAAAGAAACGTCTTCTCATTAGCTTAAAAGGACTAGTTTGCATCACTATTTAGCTTTACTAACCTCAGCTCCTCCAGTCACCACAGTCCTTTCTTTTCCAAAACCACTTTTTCAGACTGAAAACTGAAAAATTATTTAATCTATACAGGACAGAGCTGCAGGCTACGTCAGTTTAGTCTCAGTTTGTACCTGATGTTCTCAACATTGGACAAGTAGGCAGTAATAAAATACAGCTTCCAGTTACTTTCTATAAATTGAGCTAATGTTAAGTTACATAGTCACTTTCTGCCACTTAGACAATCAAACACTCGCAACGCACCCCCTGATTCAGAGTTACGCTGCTCTTATAGCATCATCTGTCAACTATGTTCTGCATAGAACGAGGAGAGGAAGCGAGCCGAGCATTGAGTGCTGCCGTTCTCTCAGTGTGCGAGTGAAAACATTTGTAGCGCATAGTTTAATGATCGTGGGAAATTTTAGTAGCAGCGGTCGTGATTGAGCAGTGGCGCACCGCCCGCCGCTCCTGAATGCATATAGTGGAAACACTGGATATATCAAATTATATGAGAAAGATAATTTGAGAGTCAAGCCATGGCATTAAAAATATATCATCAGGTCGGCCTTCCTACAGACTACAAGAAAAACTAACTCACCACAGTGTATTATACAGGAAGCGCACAATACAATACAAAACCCACAGTTCAACCGCCAATTAATGAGTCCTTATCTCAGTTCAAATCAAATATTTCCCAGTAAGCAAAGAAAAAATACTCAGTTTGAGGTTCTATTCAAAAGTTTGGCAACGAAAATAAAACCAAGTGACACCTCTTGTGTTTAATAGACAGTAATTCTCTGACAATACCGAGTCCCCCTCCTCCCCCGCAGCCTGCGATGCTGGTAAGCAGCGCACTGGCTGTAACTCGGGACAGACTTGGCCTCTTTCGGACTTGTGAGTTTGGTTTGAAACGCCCTTTCACAGATATTTCCTGAGCTGACTGGTGGCTGTGTCGATCGCCGCAATATGCTTACTGTTGGAGCTATATTCTTATTTGTGTTTATTTTTGGCTTAAGTTAATTTATAGCCCAATTTATTTCTTTTCTTTTCTTGTTAAAGTTAATTTGGTTTATTTTGTAGTTATGCTTTACTTGCATTGTCGTTTGTTGGTCACATGGTGTTATGTTCATTTGCATAAGTAGGTCAAGGTGAGAGGTGCCGCAGGCACGAGGGCATATGGTTTTTTACCAGCGTGAGAGAGGCAGCAGAAATGTCTGTAAGCTTGCTTATGTGTGTGAATAAACCTCCTCAAACTCAGTCTTGTTATGGACATTACCTTGCTTTGGTACCTCTGAACCTGCGTAAAGCCTAACCATGACGTAGCCTCAAGTGGCCATTTGAGAAGTTTGTTATTATTTGTTTTTGTTTAAGTTTATGGACAAATAGCCACTACATTAAGTAAAAAACCTGCCCTGGATATATTGTTGGTTTGCGTGGATACTGGACTTGTCGTTTGCTGAATTGCCGTTTCGAAAGTGGATTATTCACCTGGATGTGGGAGACAAAGGAAAGGGCCTAGGAGTGACGGAGCCAGGGG